TCATGGTGACGGTGGCCAGATAAATGGATGGATTATCTGGTTTGCCCCGGCATAGCCCGGGCTGTAGAAGTTCACCCCCTATTCCCACGGTTGCGCGTGAGGTTCCGTTAGCTGCTGTTCCCGGTGTGACTGGTTCTCCCCATAGAACTGGTCCTGTGGGGCACGTCACAGCACTCTGGCTGCACTGGGCGGGGCGCCCGCCCTGGTGGTTTCATCACAGCCCTGTACCCGGGTCCGCTCACGTTATAACTGTGCAGGGATTGGAAATGCTCTGTAGTTCCAGAGCAGTTCAGGGCTGCCCCCTGTCGCAGCAGAGGGGTGTGTGGGGGAGGGTTCCCCACAGGTTCTGGGGGTGGGGAAGAGCGTGAACTCTATGCAGAGTTCAGGGCAGATATACCCCTCCAGGCCAGGCTGCAGTCGTGGAGTGAGGTGACCTATGTTCATAGTGGCCACCCTCCTTCAGGGAGAAACTGCACAGCGTTGTGTGTCCTGGCTCCACGCACCCTGAACGTGCAGAGGTTTCCTGAGGCCCTGTGGAGCGGAAGTGGCCATCTGCCTTCCAGAATTCCCCCCCCGATGGGGGCCAGCGCTGCAAGTTGGGTTGAAATTGCTAGGACAGTTCCCGTTCTGCGTGGAACCCATTCCTGGCAGGCCACCTCCATGGTGCTGGGGACACAAATTCCTGTTTGTTTCAATGGACAGAACGACTTGGGCACCTTGTGTAAATCTGGCTGCAAACAGACCATTACCTGGGGATTTGCAGGTCCTGCCATAGATGGAGTTATTGCTTGCTTGGGGCTCTCCACAGAACGCTATCTGCAAACCGTTCCTGCCGGCTTCCCCACTCTGGTCTCCTATCATGTCAAGCTAAGGAGGTACTCCCCACAACGCACAGTCAACCTGTGGAACTCCTTGCCAGGGGATGTTGTGAAGACCAAAACTATAACGGTTCAGAAAAGAACTAGACCAGTTCCTGGTGGCTATCAGCCGAGATGGTCAGGGACACCACACCATGATCTGAGTGTCCCTAAATCTCCGACTGCCAGCAGCTGGGAGTGGACGCCAAGGGATGGATCACTCACTACACTGCCCTGTCTGGTTCATTCCCTCTGGAGCACCTGGCACTGGCCACTGTCGGCAGACAGGATCCTGGGCTAGATGGACCATTGGTCTGACCCGGCCTGGCCGTTTTGATGCCATCCTCTACCCCTTCTGCCCCACCGATGATGCCAGCTTTGACTGCCTACGTGTCTGCTTCTCAGCCGTTCTCTCCTTGACCTCCTACACGATTGCAACCCCCTCCCTGGACTGATCTCTGAGGCCATCCCTCCCCCGCATGTCTCTCCTCCAGGCGGGGTCATGCCTCCAGGACCTTGGCCAGCTAACAGCGGTGAGGGGGCGGGGGCAGTTGGGTGTAGTCCATGTGTATTTATTCAGTTCCCCACCCTTTGTATGTTTACGTGAGGCTCCGAGCTGTCAGCTCCTTGGAGCTGGGCCTGCGTCTCCCTGGCCATGCAGGTGATGCCTTGCAGGCTGTGGGCCCTGCAGTAACCCAGATACTGCATTATAACAACTCCAGGGGCTCTGGCCACGTGTCCTGGGCAGAGCTGAGCCGCCGGGCTGGTGTCAGGTGGGGCGTCGCCGCGGTAGCTATTTCCTGTTACTGGGTAACCTCAGGGTAATGAATAAACATGTCGTGAGTCGGAGTCAGTGATATTGGCTCCTTGAGTTCAAGGCCAAACTCCCTCTGTGCAGTTGAATCGTCGGTTCTGGGTTTCTAGAGCTCAAGTCAAACCATCAGTGAGGAACTTCTCCTGTGAGACTCACTCGGCAGTTTCCTTCCACCTGCCCTTGGACACGCTCGGCCTCTTCTTCCTGGGGAGGTTTCATTCCTTGGGAACTGGCCCCTCTGCTCCGCAGCTTAACTGCAACCCTCTCCGGTGCTAGAACTCCTTCTGGGAGCCCCCGAGTCCTGCCTGAGACCAGGGTGGCCACACTTCCCTCTGCTGAATACCGGACACCCGGGGAAATGACTCGCATTCAAGCGAGTTCAATGGCGACCGATCAGACTGTGCGGGACAAACATTCACATTAAGTATCAGAGGGGAGCCGTGTTAGTCGGGATCTGTAAAAAACAACAGAGGGTCCTGTGGCACCTTATAGACTAACAGATGTATTGGAGCATAATGGACATTTCCTTTACATGTGTCTGACGAAGTGGGTATTCACCCACGACAGCTCATGCTCCAACACGTCTGTTATTCACATTAACATCAAGCTGTCTGAGCCCGTTAAAAAGAAACACTGCGGCGTTGGAGTCTTTTTATTTACCTCCTTCTCTTGAAGGTTTCAGGGTTCACACAGGAGGGGGGCCACCCCCGACACCCCCTCCCACACCCCCACCCACACACACAGGGAGAGGTGACACACACACTTGCATACTTGATAGCAGCCTTCAACTACCTGAAGGGAGGTTCCAAAGAGGATGGAGCTCGGCTGTTCTCAGTGGTGGCAGATGACAGAACAAGGAGCAATGGTCTCAAGTTGCAGTGGGGGAGTTTTAGGTTGGATATTAGGAAACACTATTTCACTAGGAGAGTGGTGAAGCACTGGAATGCGTTACCTAGGGAGGTGGTGGAGTCTCCTTCCTTAGAGGTTTTTAAGGCCCGGCTTGACAAAGCCCTGGCTGGGATGATTTAGTTGGGAATTGGTCCTGCTTGGAGCAGGGGGTTGGACTAGATACCTCCTGAGGTCCCTTCCAACCCTGATATTCTATGATACACCTCTCACGTGGGGCAGGACGGGGAGATGTGTGACTGACCAATCCAACCATCCCTGCCTGGTGCTCTCTGCCCTCCATGCCTGCCCGCCTCTCCTGGGTCCTGGCTCCATATCTTCCCAAGGCAACGTGTGTGTGTGTGGGGGGGGAAGGATGAGCCCCCCCCCACCACACACACTTGTGCGCCCCCCGCCCCGACTTCTGCCACAGTTCACACCAGAACGTGGCCAGCAGCAGCCCTCCGGCCCTGGGCAAGAGGGAAGGGAAGGGAGCTGCTTCCAGCCGCAGGGGCCGGGGGGGGGGCGGAGAGGGGGAAGGATGAGCTGGCCTGTGGCTTTGCAGAGCTCATCTCTTCTGCCCCTGCTCCCCTGTGACTGGAAGCAGCTTGGCCCTTCCTGCCCACACCGTGTGGAAAGGCAGCTAACACCCCCAGGCTGCTGCTGGCCATGGACGTCACCCAGCGCCTCCTGTCCCCTGGCTACAGCATGGGCAGGAAGGGGTTAAGCCCTAGGGATGCATTGTGCACCAGGGCCCCTGACTGCAGGGGTGTCAGTGAACAGGCCGGAGGGGTGGCTCAGCAGGGGAGGGTGCCTAGGGGACGGAGCAGCCCCGTGCTCCCGGGGCCAGGACCCAGGGTGGGGGCCTAGGGGGTGAAAAGGGGGCTAAGCCCCTCCCCAGGGGGCTGCTGGGGAGCCAGCAAGTTCAGGGCATGAACAGGCTGGAAATCGCTGCCCCCCCTCCCCCGAGCTTAGCTGAGGGGTGGGGAGGCTGCCCCGTGCCAGCGCTGTGCAGGGCTTTGGCACATGCAGGGCTCGGCCCCTCCTGGGCAGCGCCCTGGGCCGGAGGGACTTGGGCTTTCCCAGGCGCTGGCCCAGCCAGAGGCCGGGGGGAGGAAGGAACCCGCCGGCCAGGCTGTGGGTGAGCTGAGCGCTCTGACCAGGGGCTGGTTCTCTGCACGCGCTGGGAGCAGGACGCGTCCTGCCGGGGGGTATGGAGGAGCAGCAGGGCTGGGGGGTGAAGGGGCGAAGCAGGGCGAGGGCAGCGAGAGGGGAGCACATAAAGGGCCGATGGGTCGGCAGCAGAGGCGACACATGGCCGGCCTCTGCCTGGCGCCTGCCAGCGCTCACCAGCCACCGCAGCTCGCAGCCAGCCCTGGTCGGAAACGGGCCGGCGGGCGGGGCCCTGCTGGCCGAGAGCCGGCCCACAGCAGGGGCT